CTCCAGTAGAACATAAGTGGCGTTTGTGTCCCAAGTGGAAAGATATGGCATTCGAGACCCACCTTCAATAATTGTCATATTTCAAATTGGTTTTCCGCTATGGTCAAACTAAACTAACACTTTTGCCCTATACCATTCGCACGAATTTTCAAGTTACTCCGTCGCGCCAATCATATGAATCAATACAAAACATATGTAGTTTTTCCCCCTTTGGATTATAAAACGAACTATTCACGCTTACAGTTAATCTTTTGTTCAGCAAGACAGAAATTCCCATGCTGAGTCACGTGTTACAACTTCATGGAGGTGCCTAAAATAAACGTAAAATGTTTTTATCCAGGGCCCCGTATCTCGAAGCTTATAGCGAGCGGGCGCAAGCATGGCGATTCGTCACAATCCCATACCTCGAAAGCCTCTCAAATCGCGACTGTGCGTTAATAGCGAAATCACCATTAGTTTCGAGGCTATAAACTAGTCGCAATGGCCTCTGTGCATGCATAATTCGTCATTTTAATGTGTCTTTCATGTAATTAAACATGGCGGCAAGTTTGGGTTGCTAGTCATAATAGCATATAACAAAACATAACAAAAAAATGGAAGCTTATAATAGATTAGATCACTCGGTACCTCTGATAGAGAAACTTGCAGTAAATATTCACGTGACGAATGCTAAAGTCATGTTTTATTATGCATAAAAAATTCAAAATTATACATTTTATACATCATTTTATATGTCTTATGAATATAATTCATCTGGGTAGTCTATTGATAATAATTATAAATTTAAAAGTGTCATTTTCTACACAAAATGAAAAAGTAGAAACAAAGCATTCGGTCCACCGTGACCTTCATCAATGTCTATTATTGTGAGACTGAACACTACTCACTTATGTGTCAGTAAGTTTGTTAGTCCAAGCTTCGCTTATTGAATCGTTTTTGACATTTTATTGGTGCCACACACTTCAAATATCAGTATTTGTAATTATGATATTCCTATAAATAAAAACAACCTCTTGATTAGCGTCATGGTGAAAAATTGTGTTATGATGTCTTCACTTTATGCGGCAATCGAATTTGACTAGAGTTTGAGGTATATAATTGCGTTGCGTTTGCTAATTAAGGTATCGAGATAGCAGGTGGGGAGTAATTGCACTCGCAAATAGCGCAGAATTGCCATGCTCGCGCCCGCTCGCAACATAGCGAAGCTTTCGAGATACGGGGCCTTGGTGCAATGCCACCTGCATGCTGACAGATTTGATTGCTTCCATCTGGCCAAACGTCACAGGGTTGATTTTTCCGTTTTTCCCTATATAATCTGCCACCCTGGTAGAGGGTAGGGTACTACGAATAATATTTTAAAATTGGCTCCCATTTATCACTTCAAATGTTATTCAGTTATATTTGACAACCCACTGTTCTCCTTAACTAAGATTTCATGACCACCCTGGATATTAATTGTTCCATTGCTTGCTTCCCTTTTAAAAATAGGGTAAATGGGTCGTTTGTGACTTATAAGTACCACCAGCGTGTACGTTGGCGGTACTCATGGTTTTAGTCACGACCCGTCTCGTACAGCTCCACCGGAGCCTGCGGCTCCGCAGGATGACTGGGATACAAGTCATCGTTACCGCTTCTCCTCCTAGACCGCAAGGACCTGTGTCCCCATCTATTGGATTTTAGGGGTTTTTTTTGTCTCAGTCTGTGCATTGGCCTGGGCGTGACGCTCGTTGAAACGCACCCTTGTCAAAAATTTTGAAAATTCAATGCTAGATATGGAAACCGATGGAATTATGGGAAAATTTTCCACAGATGGCTGACCGTCAGTCATATGTGAGGATTTCGAATATGCCCTTAATTTTGACCTTTGACTTTTATTACGGGCAAATTTTCTAAAAAACGGGAAATTTTTGCGAGAAAAATTTTATTTCGGCCGATTTTTAGTAACTAAACTGATCTAACCTATAATATTAAGAGCATGTGTTACCCTTAGGTTCATCTTTCATTTTCGTGAGTTTGGGGTCAATCGGTGCATTTTCACAGTAGTAGCGGCTATTAGACGCCGAAACTGAAAACTTTCTCTAATTCTGATACCCTTAATGCTAGAGACCTCTTGTATTTGGCATTTTGTAGAACTTGTCAAGTACAACACTGAAAGTGGTGTCTATTTTTCGTTTTTGACACAATTTCCGCGTTGCACTATTTCAAAAAGTTCAACATCTGATATTCAGTGGTGAAAATAAAATGTGAAATACTAAAAAATTAGCAGAGATACACCCATAGTTACTATTGAACTTGAAAAGGAAGTCATTATGTATAATGAGATTACCATATACTGGTAATCTAATTGTGACCTTTGCCTTACTTTTCATGATGAATCGCACTTAACAAGTTTTCTGATCTTTATATCTCCAAAACTGGCAATGATACACCCATAGTTACTATTGAACTTGAATAGGAAGTCATGTACTGGCAATTTAAGTGTGATCCTGAAATAGACATTAGACCTTATTTTTACTTTGAACTTGACTTTGCAAATTTTCCAACCCGTATATCTCTAAAACTGGAGGAGATACGTCGAAAGTTACTGTTGAATTTGGGTAGGAAGTCATATACTGGCAAACTAACTGTGACCTTGAAATTGACCTTTGACCTACTTTTCACCATGAACTGAGTTTTCAAAATTTGTCTCCCTTATATCCTGAAAACTGGCAGAGATATGCCCACAGTTACTATTAAACTTGAAAAGGAAGTCATATACTGGTAATCTAACTATGACATTGAAATTGACATTTGACCTACTTTTTATGATGAACTGTATTTTGCAAGTTTTCTGGCCTTTATATCTCCAAAATTGGCAACGAAATGCCCATAGTTACTATTAAACTTGAATAGGAAGTCATATTCTGTGACCTTGAAATTGGCCTACTGTTTCACCTTGAACTGAACTTTGCATATTTTCTTGCTCCTCACATCTTCAAAACTGGCAGAGATATGTCCAGTGTTGCCCCTAGGTTTTCTCTTTTGTCAGCATACAGGTATATGCAAAACTGATAATACATTTCAAGGAAAACCAACAGGCCTATTGTCTAGAAAATCACAGGAGTGATCAATGTTAGGAAATACAGGTCAATTGGAAAATTTGCTTGATTGGACCATTTTTATAGTTATGTTTTTTTTTGTGCATATTTTAAGACCTCATATTTGGCGGGTTTTCCATCCGAATGCGCTTACTCCATCTAGTGGTACATTATCCGGAGGCCTCTCTGATCCTCTAGTTTATATATGTTTGCAACGGATAACTTTTTTTTACAAACTAGATTGAATAATATTTTTGAAGCGACAATATGAGGTCAATCTAGCATCAAAATGTCCAAATTTTCGAATACACTTTGACTGAATATACAGAAAAAAAAAGACGAAAAAATAAATATACATTGGGAAAAGGGATTTTGCATTCGACACAGAAACAAAACTTACTGATATTACTTTAAAATTGTTTTGATGTTTATAGTACAAAGTAAGCGTGTGCAATCTCTACAATCGTGTCAATCAATCACTTTACGTTAACGATCAAATAATACTTGGGAGAGCTGGGTTTGTTAGTATAACTACACTGTGTACCGGTAAATATCAAGTCGTTATATCCAAACAACATGTGCTTACTCAGTGTGACCCCCTTGTTTAATACAAGACGGTCTATGCACTGCTTGACTTTCAGGCGGATTGATCGGTACCTCTTTAAATGTACCTATAAACTATGGTATAGATAAAGTACGAGGAGCTAAACTTTACGAGAAATAGAGCAGATAATTGGCGAGGCGAAGCCGAGACAATTATCTGCTCTATCTCTCGTAAAGCTCAGCGCCGAGTGCTTTATCTGGCTTAAAGCATGAGTAATTAACCCTGTGCATTAATGCGTGGAACACATTCGTGGATGACGTGACTTTACACGAAATAAAGCACGGCGCGACCTATTGTTTTTTGACAGGAGAGTGCTTTAAAACACCGTTAAACTGTTTTTGGTCTCTTGTAAGATTTGGTGCTGAGCGAATAGAGTGAGTGAGTGCCCCGTCACTAACCTATAGATATTGACATATAATGGCTATATAAGGGTACCAACGAGAGCTTCAATATACATGTAATTCTGGCAAAGAAAGGATGGGGCACTGCTACGCGTGTTACTTTATGATTCAAGCTTATCTAAAAACCAACTGAAACATTTTCACAAAATCTATAACCTCAAATGAAAATCAATTACGTTTTAATTACGTAATGTATATGCTAAAATAGATGTCATAAAAATTACCTCCCAGGGAATCAATCCTTCCACAAACGTGCCTGCTTTCTCTTTGGAAATAGTGTAAATGCACTATTTATGGCTAATTTCTATATACTTGCAACAGGATTTTTTCAGAAACTCGATGCATTGATATTTTTGAAATGACAGTTTGAAGTCAATCACAAATGAAGCCAAATGTCCAAAATTTTGAATTGCACACACTGGGCAATAGAAGCGTCACCCCTACTGTTTGGTGGAGATAAATGACTGTGGAATGATATGCTCCTGGTATCATTTTATTAACATCAATTTTCATAAAAAGACCAACAATACAATTCAATGATGCGTCGGTTTTATACTCATTAGTCACATTATAAGTAGACTAGGTATTATGACTTTGATTACTCTGATTCAGGGGGTGACACTTCTATTGTCCAGTGTGTGTAGTTATACTTGAATAAACGGCAGACAAATACAGAGACAAATAGGCGGAAAGAAAACAAGCACGTGGAAAAATGAAATTTGCAGCCAATTCGGAAATACAACTAACTCAACTTTCTTTCATTATTTTGTTGTAGTACAAAGTAAGCACTTGCATTCTCTACAATAATGTTTATCAAAAACTTTAAATTTACTATCAAATAATGCATGGGGAGGGGGTTTATTTGTAAAATAAGCAAAAATAAACATAACTTGGTTCTGCAACAAATATTTCACTTACTTAGCGGGATCCCCTGGCTGAAAGACAAGATGACCTTTGTATAGCTTGGCTTTAGGCTGATAATTAGATAAAACCTCATCCGTAATGTTGTGTCGGCTCAAACACTTTTTAACATTTTTATAGTGCTGAATCTGGCAGTGTTAACCCTGCAAATATCCGGTAGATAATACAAATAAAGTCTACATAAGGGTTTTAATACTTCAATACTGCTATGGCGGTAGCAAGCCTTGGGTACTGCTATGAGTAATACTTATTGATTTCCACCCGTCTACAACTTCAATAAAAAGTCAATTATGTTTTTTCAATGCACGGTGGGAGTTTTAAACAGCTGTCATAAAAGTTCCCTCCCAGGTGTCTTAATATAATACCTGTAATTGCAACAGGAAAAAAATTTTTCAGAAACTCGATGACAAATAATACTTAGGTAGTGACAGTGCGAGGTCCTTTCAACCTTGGAATTAATCCAAATGTCCATATTCAAATTAGTCATACGTGCATAAACGGTGAACAAAGAGACGAGGACGGAGCGTGGAAAATATAATTCTCAATTTTCCATTCATTATTAATCCAATTGTCCAAACTTACAAATTAGTAATACTTGGATTAACAGACAGACAAACACAAATAATAGAAAGAAAAGAAAATAAGTACGTGGAAATAAATAAAAATTGTAGTGGATACACGAAGGCAACTTACTTAATTTCCGTTTGGCTATATGGTTGTAGTCCAAATATTCTTCTACGATCAAATAATACTTGAAAGAGAGTTTTAGTTGTAAAATTAGCAAACAAAAATTAACAAGTCGTCATGCAGCAAAAATTTATTTACTCACTGTGACTCTTTGCTAAAATACAAGACGGGATATGTACTGCTTGACTTTCTGGCTGATTGGCCGGTGACTCTAATGATTGGCGTATCGACTATGTAACACTGGTAAACTGTTCTTAGTCTCTGAACGAAAATAATGGCATTGAATTTAGCAGCTTGTGTAAATCCTGTCACTGTTCGGTACATAATGATATATACCTTCTTTGTAAAGGTTCAAATTGATACTTCAATACGATTATGTCGGTGGTGAAGCCTGGGGTACTGCAACGAGTAATACTTTATGATTCCTACAAATCTATAACTTCAAACGAAAACTAATTACATATATTGAACGCACTATTTGTGCTAAAATAGATGTCATTAAAATTACCTCCCAGGGTTTCAACCATTCCACAGACTTGCCTCCTTTCTCTTTGAAAATAGTGTAAATGCACCGATTGTGGCTTATTTTCTATTATACTTGCAACATGGTTTATTTCAGAAACTCGATGACATTGATATTTTTAAATGACAGTTTGAAGTCAATCTACGAATTAAGGCAAATGTCCACAGTTTTGAATTATTTATACTTGGATAAACGACAGACAAACACACAGATGAATAGGCGGAAAAGAAAACAAGCACATGGAAAAATTAATTTTGCAGTCAATTCGGAAAGGCAACTAACTCAACTTTCTTTCATCATTTTTGTTGTAGTACAAAGTAAGCACGCGCATTTTCTCCAATCGTGTCTATCAAACAATTCATGGAGATGGGATTTATAATAAGCAAACGATAAATGTCAAATCGTTCTGCAACATACACGTCACTTATTCAGCGGGACTCCAATATGGCCTTTGTATATGGCTTTAGGTTGATTATTAGATTAAACACTATCCGTGATGTTGTGTCGACTTAAATAATCTTGATGTTTGGTGCTGATCATTTTAAATAGTAGTGCTAAAATTTTCAAAGCGTTGCTTAGCAACCTTGCAATGGATTTTCTAAACAATACTTCAATATTTCTATGGCGGTAGCAAGCCTTGGGTACTGCTATGAGTAATACTTATTGATTTCCACCCGTCTACAACTTCAATCAAAAATCAATTATGTTTTTCAACGCACGGTGGAAGCTTTAAATAGATGTCATAAAAGATCCCTCCCAGGTATCTTTATATTTGTGACAGAATATTTTTCAAAACTCAATGACATTAATATTTTGGTAGTGACAGTGCGAGGTCCTTTCGATCTTTTGGATTAATCCAAATTAGTTGTACTTGGATGAACGGCGGACAAACAGACGAGACGACGGAACGTGGAAAATATAATTCTCCATTTTCCAATTTATTTTAATCAAAGTGTTGAAACTTTCATATTAGTAATACTTGGATAAACAAACAGACAAACACCCACACAAATAGAGAGAAAAAATAAGTACGTGGAAAGCATAATTCTTAATTTTCAATTTATTATTAATCTAAGTGTTGAAACATTCAAATTAGTAATACTTGGATAAACAAACAGGCAAACACACAGACAAATAGAAAGAAAAGTGGATACACGAAGGCAACTTAAGATTTTGTTTTGGCTATTCTGTTGTAGTCCAAATATTTTTCAACGATCAAATAATACTTAAAAGAGAGAGATTAATTTGTAAAATTATCAAACATTATTATGAAGTCGTCATGCAACAAAAACGTACTTACTGAGCGTAACTTCTTGCTAAAATACAAGACAGTACTTCTCGACTTTCTGGCTGATTGGCCGGTGCCTATAATGATTGACGTATTGACTACTTCTTTCAGCTTCTAGTAAACCCCAAGTGGCTTTGCGACGAAATCCCCATACTTTATAAGGAACGGGTTTGTTGCTACAACAGAAATCAGAAAAATTCCCTTCAGAAGGCTTTCATTTTCATTGAAAAATCACGTGTTTTATGCGCAATGCGGAAGCACCCAATACTGGACAGTACTTAGCAAAGTACTACAAGTGCTTTTAATAGTTGTCATAAAAATCCCCTTCGAGCGCATTAATTATTCCTTTTTCTAAAATTTCTTTTAGAAAAATGTGTAAAGGTCCCTTTCTGGTTTATTTCTACAGTGTATAGAATGTCTATGGAATTTTGACATGATAAAACTTTTCACAAACTGGGTGACATTTATATTTTGAAGGGACGGTGGGAGGTCTATCTTTGGAGACCTCAAATGTTCAAAGATTCAAATAGTGTACATTGTGAATGGGCGTGGCTTATTTGTGCATGCTTGTGACAGGAATACCTTTTCTATAGACCCTATGATGCACGTGTTTGGACTGAAATGGCCCCAGCTAGAACTATGTTTGTTAATTTCATTTAGGTATATATGGACATACAAAAAGAAAAATATGGAAAGTAAACAAATTTTACAGACAAAAATTGTCTAGTAGTCCAGTGGCCAGAACGCTAACCCTGCAATGTTTTTTCCTGTAAACTTCTTTTGCTGAAATGCATTCTTTAGGTTTAGGTTCTAAGCATGGAATACAACTACGACTGATATTTTGATTCTTCCTGCACACCTTAAAATCCACTGAAAAATTTCAACAGAAGCTAACAAAATAGATATGTCAGCATTCGACTTCTTTCAGCTTCAAGTAGAGCCCAAGTGGCTTTGCGACGAAATCCCCATACTTTATAAGGAACGGGTTTGTTGCTACAACATAAATCAGAAAAATTCCCTGCAGAATTATTCATTGTGATCTCAGGGACTTTTACGGCGTAAGGCAGAAACCCCACCCCGGGATTATGTACAGTGTAAGAAACATGTTTGTTACTAAAAGTAGTTATCATAAAAATTCCCTGCAGAAGGCTTTCATTTTCATTGAAAACTCAGGTGTTTTTATGCGCAATTGTTAGTCATGATCCTAAACTCTCAGAAACGGCTTATTTGACATTAATCAGATGGTGGCAGACGGTGCCATCTCCTTAGAGTCCATTTGCCATTCCGACGAGCCGCATAGTCAATGCTTGCTTTGTTATATGTTGCAAGCTTTTTTAAAAGAAATCATTTTATCTGGGTAACAAAACTTGGAGAAGCTTATAAACTTGACTTTATTTGCCAGATGATACATAAGAGATATTGATAATTTTTCCAAATTCAAGGTGGCCGTCAATTTGTTATATGAATAGCGAGAGCCATACATTCAAATATAAAAATTGATGCTTCACTTCATTGTTCATCATTGGATATTTATGTTTATATAAGTGCAAAGTGCGATCATTTANAACCAATATCAGTGCTTGTTACAACATCTTGGCTTAGGATTAAGATTAAGATTTAGTAATGCTATCATTATACATGTAGTCTATACAAAAAGTCGCAATAATATTTCAGTACCGTCTTGACGTGTTTTTTTGTGATAACTTAACACTAATGTAATCGAATTGGCATCATATAAAAATATGCTTGCTAATCAATTTCACACTCAGGTCGCTCATAATAAAATGTACTTTAAAATGACTAAATCTATTTGAAGTTCTCGGCCACGCTTTTAACCCAGTCATTCAGTGTTGTAGGTTCTTTTCCAGTAACCTCCTTCAACTGATCTGGGTCACCTGTATGTGTGCCGTCATCTATCGTCTTGTACAGTTCCAGGAGTCCGTCTACCTGCCATTCAGGGAAACCCTTTTCCAGAAATGCCGTCTTGGCGTCCTCGTATGGTACCTGCGAGTACGTAACTTCCTTTCCCAAGGCTTCTCCAAAAGCGGTTGCTACGTCGGAGAACGAGTGCTTATCACCACAAAGGGTATATGTTTTCCCGGCATGGTCTTTGGGATCAGACAAAATTACCGCTGCAGCCAGACCCACATCTTTCACTACCACTGGTGTGTACGACTGAGCGGGGTCCGCTGGCGAATAGATCGCACCCTGATCTTTTATGGACTCTTTGAACAGGAAATAATTATCGACAAACATCGGCAATCGCAAGAAACTGAATGGGACGTCCATTTTCGCAATGGTTGATTCTATTTCTGAAAATTGCTTGCCAAAAATAGTATCGGTTTTATCAGCCGTCAAGACACTGACCACTAGGAGATGTTTCACCTGAGCTTTTTTGGCCGCTTCTGCAGTTGCAACCGCCTTCTGTGCGCGATCTTCAGAACCGGGGGTAACAATGAAGAGAGCGTCGACTCCCTTTAACACCTCCTCCAGGTCTTCTGCCCCCATTTCTGCCTTCACGACAGTGACGCCTTTGATGGCTGTCAACTTTTCAGCTTTAGAAGGATCTCGAACTCCCGCTCGAATATCCACTTTGTCACTGTAGTTGTCTGACAAGGCTTGCAGGGTGGCGCTTCCAACATTACCACTGGCGCCGATGACCAAAACGATGGGTTTGTCTTTAGCAGCTGAAAAAAATGAAAGACAAAATGAATTATCCCTACGTTAAATGAAAATTATCCCTAACCACCTGTGGGTATTGCAAATCCCCTGTGGAGCCGGTGAGACAGGTATGAACAGACCACAAAAAATTATTTTTGAGTTTGTTTAAACGAACTGGCTTAATTTTCACACTAACGGTGTTCTCCCAAATGTAGATATTCTTAACCGAAGATGGAAGATAATAAGAAATGCTGAGGGCTTTCTTCGCTTATTTCAATTTGTTATGAACAGGGATTATTACAAGATGCAATATCTGTCTTAGAGCTGACAGCATCACTGAAAATACCTGTATGATTTCAGTGCGGGTAATTTTTATGATGGGTGACACAAAAATTATGTCATCCTTTACGACCTACCCCCTTTGTAAAATGTACGATGCATGCTCGTAAACAGCGGTGATCACTATAATCTGTTATTTTTCTTTCTGACTCTTCTAAACTAAAATATCGAGTGCCTGGCATTAGCGGTTACCCCAGACCCTGCTGTTCGTCTTTTTTCGGTAGGCTGAATGCCTATGTATTGGGGGAAATATACGGGAATGCATGCTAGTATATTGAGTCGGTCTTGAAAGAAAACGTGTTCACGTTTACTTTAAAGTAGCCACAGGTATTTTGGCATTTTTTAAAGTAGGCTGAGTATTAAGGGCAGATATGTATAGTGTCCATACATTTCAATTTCCATTTTGCACCTATTACGCCTATTTAATCGTTTGGATGGCTTGCCTGATGTTGTACACTGTATATTTAAGTGTTGGTTGTCAATCTTAAGCAGATGCAAATATTTCAATTAACCTTTTATGTGCCAAGTATCTTGATGCGCTGAATTACTTGCCTTTAGGTACCCCTTTGTTGCATGTGTTGTGAAAATGTGGACTTATCAAGATCTCAGATTCATGTGATGTTATCACAACTCTGACTATCTTTGTTCACCTAAAGAGGGGCGTAGTGATCTTAAGCATTACAAGGATGACGCGATCGCGTGTAGCAACTAACTAGAGTCGAAGGGCAGCATTGCTCAACCTACATATAGACGAGTGTCCCTTGTCAATATTACACGTTTATTTTCATGCGCTACAGATTCTGTGGATGCTTTATTTCAATATACATGTGCTTTGACCGGGGAAGAATTAAAATCTGTTACCTGCATCATCTTTTGTTTGTTTCTCTGTTGCTTCCGTATTGAGTTCGGCCTTGCCAGATGAACTGGAGATGCAACCTGAAAATTAATAATAATTTTTTGTTATAGAATGATATTTTTGTTGTTAATTAAATAAACTACTATGTACTCGATAAAGCCTACATGTTTCCGACAAGAAAATCAACTTCAGATCATTCTCATCCTTAAAATCCCTTTAAATAATATACTTCAGGTGTGGGGTTGGGTCGGCTTGTATTGTATTTCAATTTATTCCAAATTACTCCACCCGCCCCACCCTGACTTCTGCCCTACTTATGTATTAGTATACCACTGTCACACCACCTCGTACAACTCCATCAATTATATGTATTAGTCTGTCAGCTGTCTTTCTGCTCTATGTCTTATTGTCCTTTATACTATAATATATTTGCGTGAGGAACGCCACGGGAAACACGCGTCTTCAAGAGTAATCTTTTAAGTGGTTTTAAGATTTATGGTGTATGGTCCAATTCCTCCCATCCCTGAGGAAAAATGTCTTTAAATTGTCCAAACCTTTAAGGTGTACATTGTTTGTTAATTTAAAACTGCAATGACACTAGTACCGCCATCCCTCCCCTATAGATGCCTAAGCTTTCTTGATACATATCTGGCTCATGTGTAACCGCCGGCTTACTTGCAACCGTATAAAACAACCATTATCTGATTAACATTTATCATTGGATCTCAATTGTTCATTGTTCTGCTACATGTACACGTTGAAGAGATACTAAAATAGCTGACATAAATGTCTTTTGTAACATACCATTTAATACAGCTTACCTGGGTGCACTGAGTAATAGAATTACACAAGACTTGTCATAATGCATCTATGTGAATGATAAAAATACGATGTTGTTTTGAATGTTATGTAATGTCGGATTATACTATGCTATTCTATACACTGAGTCACTTCTTGTTCATAGCATCCTTAAGCCTTAACTGTTCGCAAATGTATTCGCTGCTTATCACGGCAAATAAAAAAGAACAACATTGCAAAAAATGGCCATGCACACTCCACGTAGAACTCACCCATTTTGGTCTTGTTCAAGTCTCGACTGCTCTGTCCTCAAGTTCACAGGTGTCTAGCTGTCGTTCTCTCACCTATGTTGAAGACGTTCCGTCCCTGGAGGAATTCGGCTGTGCTATTGCGAAGCTGGAGATGAGTCCTTGCCTGCAGTGACGCAGTGCGTGTAATGCATTGAAAGTGGGACTTCGTGTCACCGCAGAAACAACGCGGGGATCATTAGGGGGCGCTGGCGAAGTTGGTGGATGATTTAATATGCATACATAATACCTATGATTACTAAAATGGCAGATGGGGGCTGCTTAGTCATTAAGCTGTTTGGCTTTCTTAAGTTATTGGTAAAAATTTAAAAAAAATAAAATAAATCGCAAGTAGTTAAATTGTTGCTTTATCATTGGACGAGGTAATATGTGCTTTCGTTTTGATAGAATTGAAGGACCCTGTTTATCCAATAACATCAGTGATACCTTACATCATAAAATGCCATGTAGTTTCCAATCCAGAGGTAGAGTAACTTGAGGTCATGTAAAGTAGTTAGACATAATGAACTGCAGTCACGCTACTAAGATACAGAAATAACACTAAACACACACGGGTACATATACCCGTGCGACAGACATCCTCGCCGTGCCCTATAATGCTGAAAAATTTTCATCTAACTATTCAGCTGAACAGATTGATACAGTACATGTATCCCGAAGGCAGAATACGTAAACCCAAAATAATCACTAATTCATAGCATGCTACAGGGCAAATACAAAGAAAGCAGAGAAGTCGTTTTGCTGTAAGAAAAATGTATTGATAGAATTTTTTCCATAGAATTGAAAGTAGGGCCTACTGTAGATGTGCGACAGTCGATAAAAAAGGTTTCGTCTTGGAGGTTGAAAATTAATAAGGAGAACCTTTTCTTACTACGAAGCATTCGTTAGGTATTTCTGTCAATCCAACAATTAAACCGACAAAGGGGGTCATTCAAGAGAGGAAATAATATTTCAAAGAGCTTCCGGACGGCGATTAAACATGTATCGGAGAGGTACCCCTGTAGTAAGGTTCATGTGACGTCATGCTCATCGACTCAACCTGCTGGCCAACAGAAAGGGCCAAGATGTCGTACAGAAATATATTGAAACATGGAATCCTATCGGAAATACTGGGATGGAATTACGCCAATATTCCATGGTGAGGCGAATATTAACTCACAGAAAAATATTGAGACTTTACTGCTCATATAAATTCTAGTTAAAATTACCAGTTAAAAACCTACATTTTGCAGAGCACGGACAATGTGATTTGGAAGTGACGCCGGTGCAAAGAATCAATATTGGGGGATTAGCTCTAAGTATCTGCTAATTGAGACTGGAAGAGGCTAGGACTGGGGGGGGGGGGGGGATACCAGTAGGCTCAGATTGAAATTGCTTGTAAGCGATTTAAATTGAGATAAATATACCTGTATATCAAATAAGGTACAGTCATGGACATAAACAAGGAACCACTCCGTTACATAGACAAATAAATAAATAAATAAATAAATAGTCACATATATTTAGAACTAACATAAACGAAGTAAGTTTGATATTAAAACATTGGCGATTTACTCCTAGCAGGGAGACCGCTTCCTTACACAGGGTTTTTAAGCACGCGGAGCTTCAATTAGTTTTCATACCAGACCCCGGAGAGCATTACATATACGTAAATCTGCGGAAAAACAAATAAAAGACTTATCATGAGTTATTAAAGTATAATGTTATCCGACTTTACTTATATATATGTTGTCATGCCTACCACAATCGTGACGTCGGTGAAAGACGGAAGTAAGCATTTTTAGTTTGAAGTACACGTGAGCTGAAACGTGAGTGCGAAGGAGCAGTGATTTCATTAAGTTCTGTGAAAAGTCAAATATTTTTCCGCTTATGGTGTATGGATTATAATCCATCACTTATATAAGTGAGAGAATATTTCTGCTGAACGCATGCTATGGCAAAGTGATTAAACGCAAAAGATAGACCTAGTTGGAGGACTATTCAACCAAAACGTTTCAACGGCGAATGCCTGTTCATAAGTTGTGGGAGAAGTAAATGAAAGCTAGGGGTTGGGATGAAACGGACTGTAAGAAAAAGGAGCCATGCCATTCGACCATTATGGCCAAATCCAGTGTTTCCGCCCCATTCTCATTCGACAGGTGTGTTAAGGCCTAATTTCAACCAGCGGATTTACAATTGAAAAACTGGAGTATGTAACCCGGAAAATGTAAGAGAAGGGTACTGTGCCAAGTTTGAGGGTGATCCCATGTCTGCTGCTATCTAGTGCTAGGAATTGAAGTCCGGGGTCCCATATATGATTAGTACAGGTAATGGTTAGTCAGAGTATTGGGGTTAGTATATGGGACGATGTCACCTGTAAAATGTAATGGGGAACGGACTGCGGTTCCTAGCAGACTACAATTCCTGTCACACCAGGAATCACTGCAGCAGGTATGTGCGTTTGCTACCTGGGCGTCTCTACTCTCTAATGCCCTGTCACCGCGGGAGAACGTTCAACACAGCAAACAGAAAAATGTGATAAAACAAATAAACTGCAGGAAGTTGACTGTTTATAAAATGTTTTGGGTGTAATTTTTAAATAGATCTATTTAGAAGCGAGTTCCGGGGATAATACAATTTCATACTAGGTTTTGTCTTATGTACATAAACACGGACATGGTATCGATTTCAAAATATTTATTTTACCCATTTTCTTCCATTTCTTTTTCTCCACTTTTCTTTCTTTCCTTTGGAACTCTATAATGTAAACTGAATGCTGACCAATAAATAATCTGCAACTCGTTTTTCGTTATTTTCTCACAAATCGTTTATTAAAGCATCGTACCATTTTCTCATGTGAACGCAGACCCCGAGGCGCAAGGATTGCGTTATTGTATGAACAATAAGAAAAACTAATTAAATAATATGAAAGTCTGAATGTCTATAACCCTGAATATATGTATATCTGCTATTAAAATGAGTCTACCAAAGAAAAGTAACTTTTTAAATAAAGTATACCATACTCAAACATCCATACTCGTACATCTCTAATATTAGTCAGTGTGTCATGCTTAGCAGCCAGGATCATCCATGTGTTTTCCTTTTCTCTGACTGAATTGTTTCGAAATGATCTGTCTTAAAACATGCACTGCTATTATGGTACATTTTCTATTCGATATTCTGCGTTTCGAAGAAAAGTTACTCTGTTTTAAGAACTCAAAAACTGTTCTCTAAGTTTAAACGCTTAATTTGAACAAGGAAGTAGATGTCTACAAGTCTTCCTTGTTTAGAGAAAGTACGCTTGTAACGTTTATGTTTTTTAAATAGGTGAACGAGTGCTTGCACATTACACATTTTTTCTGCACAGCAAAGTAGCAAAACGAAACTACATGTAAAAAGCGTTTTTAATGGTGATATGTTGTAGCCTATTTGAAAAGAGTACAGAAAAGCAGGGGCCATAATTTGTTTCAACGTCACTTTTGTTAAATTATCTCTTATCAGCATATATAAATATAGTGGTTCACGTGGTGTCTCAGCGATTTATTCGAAGTAGTCGAATTGAAGACAAGTGACATGTTTCCAGACTACACTGGACCTGAAATAACAAAATATTCAATATCCGTTAAGGGGTTTTCTTTGAAGTATATTTCATTACATTGTTTCTAAACTCAATGAATCGATACATTATATACATCATTGAATATTGAGGTACAGTCAACGGCGGCTCCAAGGGTGCTTAACGGACCACGTTCTCTTTTTTTTCTTCCCCCCCCCCAAAAAAAAAATGTAGAAAAAACAAGCATTTTCCCTTACACGTGCCTTAAATATTACATTAAAATATGTTCGTCTATCATAAAGGCGTTTACACAGGGATATCTGCCGAGCAAAGTGATGCATAATTTTCGTTCTTCAGAACTAGCAAACTTCTGGAACCACCATTGCCAGAACCTTGTAACTTGCTGAAACTACAAGTTGATGTTTTTACTGCTCACTTTGACCAACGTTTGACGTTTTTGACTAATTGCTTACATTCGCGTATGTGTGATAACTCACTTAATGGTGTACGGGTATGAAAGCAACGCATGTGCCCCATGAACGGATGTTCTTATCTACATACATGCATTACTGCGGACCTCCGTTCCCTTCACACTGGTACGAGCATGTTTACCTACCGTGTTCAAGGCACTCTTCTCCTATGTAACAGTTCCCGTGAATGAGGCAAACACCCGGCTGAAATAAAAAAACCCCAAGAAAAACGTCAAAAAGAATATCAAAACACATAAAGCTGTATCGGTACCTTAATAAGGGAAGGTCACATTCTAGTTTATACCACTAAAGGCTCTGTCACACCTAGCGTAAAGACATACGTAAAAAATAGGACTTGTGTTGTATACATCCAGGAAAAGTAATGTACGAGTATATATATATATATATATATATATATATATATATATATATATATATATATATATATACTTGTTTATGCAAATTCAGGCAAATTTGAATAGTGTAATGCAGGGCGCCTTACCCTAACTGAACACCAGACATGCTCTGCGTGTATTTCACATATGAAACACTCCGGGTTGTACACAGTCAGGACCACTTCATTGCTGAAGTTAACACCATCATTGGCGACGCTGATCAGATATTTTATGACCAGGGAAGGTGGAGATTCGTACAACACCAGTGGACAAAAAATCTCCTGGAATTGTTTGAATTGAGCCGGCTCCTCGTGTCCGTGTACCTGGATGAACTCGCCATATTCCCACTAAAAAGACAGCAAGTTCCGATATACATGGTCCCAAAACTTTTATCTTTTAAAATATATTTCAATATATTGGCAATCCTATAACAAGTGACACTCGGTAACTTTTTAAGATAAATTTCGGAAAGATAAATCGCAGCGTAACAAACAGAATGTCCTAATAATGGTCAAATGATAATTGTACACATTGACAATAGTCTACAAAGAATAAGAGTCGAATCATTAACAACGAATAAGAATCATTACCTCATATACCTCATATTTCTTTATCCTACATATCAACTTTGTCGTATTCAAAAATGTTTCGCCATAAACTTGTGTCTTAGCGCATGTCCGGTTACGTATGTCGCACACCCCTCCATTAGGAACCCCGAATAACACCGGCACAGCCGTCAGATCTACAGAGCAATCCTCCCCGCCATAGCGATCTTCACAAATGCATTCCCCTGCAAAAGACCCACACACTTTTAATATTGGAAGGTCGCCCTTGCCTGGATGTGACAGGGGTTCAGTCCATGCTATACGTCTGTTAGTTGCGACACTAGAGCGTTGAGCTTGAATGTATTTCAGTATATTGGAAAATGTATATACGTGGGTAATGTGTCATGACTTGTGTCATGAATTTGTCACGTGTACCAATGCATTAGTAATGAGAAAATATTGACGCAAACCTCCTTCGCAAATTCCATGCCCGCTGCATTCATTCATGCATATTTTGTCAATAACGTCTGGCAGACGGGTTGTGTTGGTCTTAACGTCGAAAATCCAAAGACTGGTATTTCTGCGTAACTCTGCCTCACATGAAACTTTCACATTTTCCACGGCCGTAAATGCCCAGCCTGTACCGCCAGACAACTTTGATAAAAAAAGTAATATGAAATATATATTTTACGGTGAATGAATGTTTGGCGTGTAAACATGGTTTTATATTTAACAAATTGGGCTTATAATGTCTTATTTAGAAATCACATTCCGAAGTATTAAGACAGGGTCCACAATGTTGGAGTACAGCTATAAAAATAAAATTATGTATTTTTACAAAAATAACCACCTACCTTGATGTCCAGTACGCACCCTTCTACCGGTCCCTCTGTGTCTACATTGCTTAATTCAGTACATCTTTTCACTGATTCTTTGGAGAAGATATAACGGTTGCAGAATTCTCGAGCAGATGCTTCATTCCATCCATTCCTCCATTCTGCTTCCTGTTGATAAATTGTAGCGAGCAAATACATAACAAGTAGGGGAGACCGGGGCTAGTTGGACCCCGGGGTAAGTTGGCCCCCCGTCATTTTATGAAAAAGTAACTACGAGTTTTAAAAAATCACCACATACACTTGTAAAGTGACCGTAGCCTACAATGCTAAGGAAGTGTCAGCCGTTAAAAAGTTTTAATTAAGCGGTGAGTCCAAATAAACTATTTTTGCACCTAAAAAGTAATTTTGTTTTAGAGATTTAAAAATCTATTTTCATAGGCTTTTGATCGAATATAAGATATGTTTAGGGCATCAAACTGAAGCTCATTGTTTCAAGTTTCACAGAAATGTATCATCGTTGCTCATTCTAGCACCATAAATGGCTGCCATCCCTTAAAATAAATAATGTGCACCCGGGGCTAGTTGGCCCCCTTGACTCGGGGCAAGTTGGACCCTCATATTACCCACAATCCTTTGCGCGCAATGCTGTTTGAAATAAACAAGAAGTTGTAACTTCTTGAAATAAACAAGTTGGTGAAATTGACAAAGCTTGCCGGTGTTTACTGTCTGATTGATTTTTTTTTTAATTTGCTCTCTGGTGTCTTTTCGAAAATTTATAGTAGAAATGTTCTGTTGATAGTATGTATTAGAAAGCAAATCCATTGGACTTTCCTTAGAAAAACATTTATTTTGCCTTAATTCACTGTAAGGTGATTTTATTGTATTTATAGTGTTATATGTGGCCCCAAGGGGGTTTTCCACCTCTCCCATTGTGGAGACAAACTCAATGGTTTAAAACTGAATTTGTTACTTTCTTTTAAAACGTAAATTTATTATTCGTTTTCATTCATTAAAAACCTGCTTTATAACATTATTAATTTATTCTTAATTAAAACAAAACAAATTTTATTGATAGATATTTTGGTTCTTGCAACACATACCCCCCCCACAACGTGACGTACGGAAACCTCAAAAAATCTGCCTCATTTATTCATCGAAGACTCTCAAAAATCACTTTAATAAATTAAAAATGTATAAAAATGTATTTCAAGGCGTTTACATGGGATATATACTTCATTTTCGTTTATGTGGGGCCAACTTGCCCCGTAGCGGGGCAAGTTGGCCCCCTTGACGTCAAGTGCGTTTTTTGTCAAATTGTGAGTCATCTGGCATTATATTTGAAAAATAATGGCGTTGCATACGTAGCTTAGTTCATGGGGCTTACTTTGAAACCGGTTTTGTTACTCTAACCTATTCCTAGTTGTCTCTACAAGGCCAAAAGTGTCTAACTGGGCCAACTAGCCCCGGTCTCCCCTACACACACTGGACAATAGAAGTGTCACCCCCTGAATCAGAGTAATCAAAGTTATAATGCCTGGTCTACTTATTATATGACTAATGAGTATAAAACTGTTTCACCATGGAATTGTATTGTTGGTCTTTTTGTGTGAAATTTGATGTTAATAAAATGATACCAGGAGCATATCATTCCACAGTCATTTATCTCCTCTAAAGTATTGGTTCAGTAGGGGTGACACTTCTATTGTCCAGTGTGTGTATATTTGGCACCGCGCACCTCGTATCCTGGGACTTAATAATTGGACATTATTCGTTATTATGTCCAAGATATCAATGACTTACAAGAGCGACGGACTTCATATTATTTTTTTTAATTTTAGGTTTTCACTTGCACATCACCACGTAGTATTTAACCTATTAGCAAATTCATTACAGCACTATTAATACAATTGTATTTCAATCATAGAAAAATAAAGATTTACATTGAACTGGTCTCTGTTTTTAACCTATATCCAGTTGTTTATATGTATAGCCTACATTGTGTACGATTCAAAAATCTTAAAAATAACACTTGTAAACCTACCGCAGGTACAAAATCATCATAGTCTACATAGACTCTCGGCTCAAACACATCATCATCGTTCGTTGTGTCTCGTCTTTTTTGGCATTGTTGGAAGAAGGCGCTGGTGACCGTAGCTTGATTCACACACACTGCAACTTGGTTATTAAGATTACAGTCCAAACTGGCGGTCGGATCCCAGTTGTTCACTGGACATTTACAGTAGGGGTGCCTGGCATATGTTGTTCCAGGTGTTCCAGTCAACAGGCTTTCAGTTGCCACAGTAACTCTGGAATATAAAAACGGCGCTGAACTACAATACTATATATTTGGGACGATATTATTAATAATGTCGTAAATTCTGTTTCATTACGCTACATGGCGTTAGGCTGTTGACGATATAACTAAGAAATTCAGAACTCGAAAATAAGTTCACAGATTGTATTTTTCCTAACGGCTTCGAATATGGTATTTCTAACAACAACAACAACAATAATAATAATAATAATAATAATAATAATAATAATAATAATTATTATTATTATTATTATTATTTTTGCATAGAAAGGTCTAACCAGCACAGTATTTCTTTAAACCTACTTCCATGATAATGAAAATGCATTCGGGTGAGATGTGGTATGTGGAGTCACTGTCGTCAAATCAGAGTGCAAGAAGTCGTCGTTCACGTTACTGTTCAACACCCCACAGAGCCCTCTTGTGTTGTCTATATCCAGTTCACCGGGGTGGATATCCAGGCTAAGAAACTTCCCACCACAACAGCTTTGGTATGTTATTACGACTTGGCCACCAGTTGGCAATGTTATCTGAAGGAAAAACATTATTGTAACAAGAGGGTCAGAACGACGATATCGCCGCCAGTTTTTTTTATTTTATTTTTTACCACAACAAGGTTTTAGCGTATTCAAGTTCAGTGGCAATCGTGGGTGAGAATATCTTCTAGATTAGGAAATGTATCGGACAGAAAATTTAAGAAGCGAGTTTCATGAAAACAAGAGATCACTACATGTATTTTTTCGGTGCACTGATTGACCCCAAACTCACGCACATAAAAGGATACCCTAGGAATAACTTTTCACAGTAGTATAAAAGCATAGGTCTATGCAGTTTCTGAAAATCACACAAACAAATTTTCTTCACAGAAAATTGAAAATTTTGCAAATTTTGGCCGTATTGACCATAAAATGCAATGAGAGAGCGTCGCACCTGGGCAAATGCGCCGACAGAAGCCAAATCAAAGGGGTTCAAAGAGATAAGTCAGAGACGAGGACATACGTCCTTGTAGCCTATGAGGAGATGGGGTAACGGTGACATGTATCTGCTGACATGCGGCGGAGTCGGCAGACGTCAGGGGTCTGGGCAGCTAAAACCATAAGTACCACCAGCTCTCCCATGCATGCTGATGGTACAATAACACTAAATGCTATGGCAAGAAGAATATACGTATGCTTCAGTACATCTACGCATTCTTTTAAAAGGAAAAAACTTTCAAGCTTCCTGAAATCGAATCATGAGCAAAATATGTGAATTCTCCGTGTTTGTAATCAATTTTACCTAACTTAACATGTGGGTGGTCACCTTAAATTTTTTCCCGCCATTTGTCATCTCGATTTTCATTCCTTCCAAGTCACAGCCTACCACCCCAACGCTGTAGGGTGTGTTTAGACCTTGCTTCAGCAACCGCAGGTCATTACAGGCGTCAGCAATGAATATATCTGTGCCCGACTTAACGGCCACAGCGCAGTTACACGTTGCTCCTGCTATTCCCTGACAAGGCTCAAAACGGGCGTTCACCTATAGTAAGCAAAACAGTGTAATTTATCAAATTTAACAATTAAACATTGTTTAAAAAGCTGAGATGTATTGGTGAAATAAAAGGAAATCGTAATGAAATTCAGTCAAGCTTATATCAATAACTGACATGGCATTTCTATCATCAAGAAACCACTCTCTTTTGATATTACAAAATGTTTGAAGGTATAGTCTAGTTTGACGCTTTTGTTCACAAAGGAAATAATGTTTTATTTTGATTTTACAACTTCCTGACATTTGTCTTCGTGTAATGCCACGAAAAGCATCTCCATGAATGTATAACACATGGGGGATAGTTCGATATAATTTTTTCAACATGTTTGAAAACGTTTGACTTTTTATCGTGTCTTGATACGTGTTCTTTTATGAACGCACCTAGATTTTAAGCTGTGGGTGACAACATAAATGAGCCCGCAATAATGTATGTAAAACTTTCACAAATGTATATTCAAGACCGTGAAAATTCTGTATATACAAGAGCAGGGGCAGATTGAGGCCGTCTTCTGGGTCTTCCGGAAGACGGTCAGATTTTCAAGTTTACATTGACGGGTATCTAATTTTTTTTTCTATCGGAAGGCGGTCAAAATGGAGGATGAATCAACAAAGATAATTTGGAAGACTGTTAGAAAATATCTCTGGCTCTGCTCCTGCTTGAAGAGCAATAAGGGTGTGTAATTAATCTGAATTAGAGAAAACAGATTTCTCTTTGTGAAGAACTCACCTGGACGGGTAAAGTGCGGTGCTTGTACACCACGAATTCTCCTGCATTCTGATTTTCATAACGTCTGAATAGAAAGCAGGATCAAATCATTATTTACACATTTATAAGTACCAGAATTAAGGAAAGGTGTCTTGACTAAGTGGAAAGAAAATACCCAACAACAGATTTTAAAGGCTATGGAACATCAGTCTCTTGAAGAGAGGAACAAAAAGCTTGAAATTTGAGTCTAACACAAGGGGAAAACGCCAAAGAAAATCTTATATAAAGCACTTCAAGCTCAGATATCAGTTTTGCATACATGTGCCTTGAGGGGACAGCAGAGAGTGGTTTGTTTTCAATCTTCCTTTTACCAGTCTACATAGGCTGTATTTGTTTTCCTAAAGTCTGCTACAACCTACTGATATTATACTGTCCGCAAGTAATTGCATAGAAAAGAAAACAAAGCTCAAAATAAAAAATTCTCAAAAGACTTCGTATTGTAATACAAAGACATTTTTATGATTGGTGTTTTGACTATGAAATGCTTAAGTGAAGTTTGAGGTTTTCAGAGTAATATATTTTACACCACGGCGTTAATATCGTGACCACTTTAATCGAGTCAAACACCTTACAAGCACGGAACAGTATTGGGAAGTTCTTTCGCACAAAATTCATTGAATTTTGAAATGAAGTGTTTTGACATCTTAAGTTCAGGATCTTGTTTACTTAAATCACCGACTTTAAAGTATTTCGGGCCTTACACTATAGCATGGTAGTTGGTAACCTCTTCCATCATCTGTGCTTTAATCCCAGCTTCTGTCCTTCATACGTGTGTGTGTGTGTGTGTGTGTGTGTGGCTGCATGAACTGAGCTGAACTGTACTTACTCGCCATCAAATGTGCGCATGTGCGGATCATTGTGAGAGTAGCACATCTTGCCAGCTAGCTGAACTGCAACGTTATACACCAATACCTAGAAAATGTACGTGCACATGAGTCACCCTGGTGGCCAATTCCTTGAATCAGTGTGGAAGTAGTGGCAACTATCAAACGTATTTGTGCATTTTATGTACAACAGTCCGCTGCAATGTGTATGAACACAATGTTGTGAAGGACAAAAAAGATTGCTACACAGGAACTGAAGCACTGTATTAACATAGTTGTTTTCCTTCAAACAAGTATTTTTTTCTTGCTTAGGGTTTATGACTTTCTTAAATAAAAAAAACTTAAAAAGTATATCCAAGAAGCAAAAATAAATTGGTACTTACCGGAAAATCAGGTAGGTAATAATTAGACCAGGCGGGGTGTGAAGGGAACGACAGAGTGGCTAGTTTCACGTTGGAAATTTTGTCACCAAAATAAGTTGACGTTATAGTTCCTGCGACATTGAGAGATACTATGGCATTCCAACCAGGAGTCAGAGTAGGGAAGGACGGAATCTCCACACCGCAGGCTGTGTTCTGAAACACCACATTGGGACCCACTGCGACACCTGTCTGCGGGCACACGCCAGGGTTGCCTTGGATTTCTGGTACTCTTACCTCTACTCGAAGTTTAGGACACAAGGAAATCAGTGGTAAACCTAGCGGACAAAGTACTGGGACTGTAGGTCGTAATTGGATTTGTTTGGGTGGGTCGTTGCTTTTTATTTTCAGAGGTTTTGGTGTCAATATCTAGAAAACAGAGAAAAGTATATACAATTTGAAATAAAAAAGCATTGTGATATGAAGAGTAGCTTACATGAAGCAATCAAAAATACAGGAATCGCAACTATTTTGTTACAACTTTTTACTTAGATGAAGGTTCACTTGCCTCAATACCGGCGAAAAAACCGTCACTTTTCACTTCTGGACTCGGGGTTCCACCTGCAGAATACTTTGCCTTGACTCCACAGCTTATCTGGTATAGAGAAATATTTCCCTGTGTAAAGCGATTTATCAATATCACGACAAACTAATAACAAACTGATAAAAAACTGTCCCTCTGCATATTATATATACTGCCCAGCTGTCAAATAAGCATGATACTGCATTGCTAGAGCGTTAATTTTGCTTTCACGTGGTCTAATTTCAAACTGTGCAACCCCGACAAAGTCACTGAAGCAACAGATTTTTACTATAAAATGTATACAAAATACATGTATAGGCTATGTTGTATTAAGATTAGATTGGGATAATATCTATGCATTTTGCTGGCAAACAGGTAACTTAAAGGGAGAATATGGTAACAGTTACTGCATATCCCAAATACAATTCAAGAATGAGTTCCAGGTTTTACCCAATCGTTGTACTTATCTGGTAAACGGATGGGGCACTGCAGATATTCGACTGGAGTTTACAAACTGATGGATGACTGACTATATGAACAATGTATTCATATCATTTTCCCGTGTATCGTTTTCCTTTTTTAAAGTTTTTAACACTCCTAGGACCGATGCCTGCAATTGTACATGATTTTGTGGCATCTTAAAATATACCACAGTGTAATAAAATTTGACTGTTGTTAAGTCGTTCTCTTGTAAGTAATACAATATGAAAGGGATGGCATGTATATACCCGCACGAAAATGCAGTAGTATCGAAGTAGCAAAAAAACATTAACGCAGATGTGGTGTGGAGCATATTTGCAGTAGAAATGCAGTATAGCCTACTGCAATTCTACTCCAAAAAGTACATAGGTTTGTACAGAGAGGAGCATTAATGCAGTAGATTAGCAGCATGATAGAAACATGTTTCAAATATGCTAATTAGCTCCCAAATCGAAGCAGATTTGAAGCATGTTTGCAGTATGATTGCAGTAGTCTACTGCGCTGGAGTATCTACTGCGTTTTCTTGCGGGTATACCAAAATATTCTTTTGTAATATTTCACCTGAAAGTTGGCAACGTTGAATTGAAGTGTTAATTACTGGGGGACAACGTGCTAGATAAATATTTGTTGCTGTGATGTAATATCCAACTTAACTGCAACTAGAAAAGTATTCACAGAGCGAGGCCAATTCTCATTTTATCAATTATTTAGTGATAAGATAATCGATCAATCAATCATTCAAACAATTAATTAACTCAATAACATAACTTTCTTGTCGGATCATGTAATAATCTACAAACTAACGATGCATGATATCCAGACAACACTCATAAATTGTGGTAGATGAGAGCACATTCATTTCACAACATCTTGATATAATAGAACTCAATGTAATTGGCTCTATCTCGAAAGAATCGTTTAAAAAAGCCCTGGTTCTAGTTGGTGATCCGAATTAACACCAAAATCTTATCACGCTTAAGTTGGCCCACTTCGGACCTGCCCTGAAAAATTTCATCAACATCCAACCATAACTATTTGAGTTAGGCTGGTGACGAACAGATACATGTATATAAGAGCACTCAGTAAAACTGAGCGCACACTTCGAAATCCTTACAGATCAAAAGAAAAAAAAACCAAAACATGCTTTTGAGTGGTGTACATACCGGCAATGGCCCCTTTTGTCTTCAGCCTGGCAGTACTTTAAACCAGCGAAGTTAATAATCGCGATTTTAACATTTAAGGCCCTCGTCAAATCCGTGTTCTAGATCGGATTTAGATGCCGTTTGGCATATTAGTGATACAGAATTTAGCCTCCTATTACTGTAGCGAATTGGAAGCCAATCGTAAGATACTGAGATTTTATAGAAATTTTGACAGTTGCAAAGGGGCTTTCTAATGTTTAATTTAAAATAAGCCTGTGACGTCATTCTGGATCCGATCCCTATATATAGTACAAAAAAAAGTTTGGAAATTTTGGAGAAATTATTTTTTGAAATTTCACGTAATGTTATCCTACGGCAATTTATTAAATTTCAGTTTTTTTTTATTATTTTATCCAGAAAATCCAGATCATAACCAAAATTTAGTGGTCAGGTCCGGGTACCAGAACAATTATTTACAAAACAGAAATCAGAACGATACATTCAGTACATGTTTTGTTAGCCAGAAAACAAACAGACAGACAAAAGGAGGTAAAACAGTCTACTTGGAGGAGGTAATACCACCGTAGTGTCAGGTTCAGGTTACATATAAGTAGGCCTATTAACACAAATACAGTGTGTTCAATGTGAGCAATAATTTGCACGAAATAATTACCGTTATTCCAAGTGTGTGAGTCCCGGTCCATTGGGCCTCGTGCAGTTTGCCGGGAAAACTTCCCTGGGCAACATCGAGTTGGCTGTGTACTTTACTTCCGTCAAAGTACCACGTGATGTCAAACCGCATGTTCACGAGCTGGGTTGCAGTGAACTCAGAGACATCTGGCTTGCACTCAAAAACAATTTCAGGACCAGTGCCAACAGTCCAGGAAAGGTTTGGTTTCTTCGTAAGATTTGGAAAGCCGGCTGAAACAAACGGTAATCACATACAAATTTAAGTCAGAACAAATCGATTCATCGGTTAGCGAGCGGCCACTCTCTATAAACAGGGTCAGTAGATGAAATTCATCATTTTTTAAATTCATGCTGTTAAACGAGCACAACAACAAAAAATTTGATTTTAAAAAAATTTACCAAACCAATCCCAATTGATTTTTCCATTTGAAAAATAAAAATATTTGAGTCGGTTGCGTTCGTTTACCAATTCAACAATTATGTCTGGATATAACTCCAAAATGTTAAACAACGGAAAATAGGTGTTAAACACAGGTAAGGTTTTACTTTACTGGACACATCTGGACCCATGGCCTGACACGAACACAAAAATCTTATCAAAGAAGTATCTTTATACAAACATACCTCGTGCCGCATTAATCATTCATGGAAATGATATTCGCTTTGAAAAAATATATAGAAAAAAAGGAAGAAAACAAAAGCAAAAAGAAATTAAAAAAAGAAAATGGTAAGAACTGAGTGACCCACCTGAGCAGCCCGGTGTGTATCCAGTCGGAGAGCTCGTACCTGGCGGACAGGGAGCCTCTGACCCTGATTGCGGAGTAGAAGTTTTTAAATTAGATTTATTATTTGATGTTACAAAAATGCTTCGTTATACAACTTTCATGAATGGAAATGAGATGAGATATTAATTTTAAAAAATGACATGCTGCTTTGATATGCTAATCGGCCTGGCCGAACACTATGCTTCTATGGTATAGGAATACTCGAATTTTATATGACTGTTTAAAAAAAGAGAATGTTTTATAACCTGCGCAGTAAGCAATAGGGCATCCGGTAGTTCTTGGCAGTTGATACACTCGATATAATCCACAGTTCTTCACTTTGATGTTGAAAGGAGACGAACAACTTACGCCAAAATTTGTGACACATGCTTGCCGCGTCACCTCACCGTCGGCTACCGATGGAATATTTCCTTAAAATATAGAAAAGTGAAGCTAGCTAATGTTTGTTTTTGTCTGTATAAAATTATTTTTATATCAGCAGATCAGAAAACATAATTTGACAATATTTCTTTATCCTTACTTTAATTTACTAATCTGCATGTAAGACTCATCGTGAAAGAAAAGAAAGTCTACTCACAATAATATGTGTGATTAACAAAACGAACCTGATGTATCAGGTATAAAACTGCACAAGTTTGCATACCGTTCAACCAAACTGGAAATAAGGTAGAACATTTGAGGAGCCCCGGATTTGCTGTTGGCATATCTCCACCGGCGGGACTGGTAAAGCGGTACCATATCGGAGGGCTGGAGAGGAGACTGTCACAAAGCATGGTATCCCCACTGGTCGGTGAAATGGCGGTGCTGCGCCTCGGGTCGTTAACTTCTCGATGCTGGCCTTGCGTGCATGGATCTACACACAAAAAAAGTTAGTCACGTATTGCCAATATATTGTTTCTGAGGGAAGAGGGCGATATTGTCCTTCAGATAGCTGACGGAAATGGTGTTTTATCCAACGTACTGCTATGAAGAAGACGAGTGCCAAAAACGACAGGTATATTTTCCAAAGCCGTGGCTACAAATTTTTGATTCGTGTAATTTTGAAATTGGCAAAACGGTGGTCGCACATATCGCAGCCCCCTGTTAGCAAAATAACTACCCAAAGATGATTCTATGCTTCAGGTACTTACTACAGGATTGCCAAGAAGTAACCTAGGTAAACAGGTGTAACGAAACTGAGGGTCCGTGTAACAGAAAGTCCGCTCTCCATATAGTTATCATGGTTAGGGTTAGTCTGACCTATGTGGGTCAAAATCTAGGGCGAGGCTCACCTGTGCAAATGCATTGGAAGTGGACCCTCTGTTATGGGGGACACTCTGTCACGTTACACCGGCGCAAAAGTGACATGGTCTGCAAAAACCCTTGTTTGGCGCCGTTTTACCATTTAACGTTTTCCGCTGAGTCTTTACATTCACCCTAAACAACTACCATTGCCTATCTGTCAGAGAACATTTCTCAAAAGGCGGCCCGCTTCAGTGGTTTGAAAGTGCATCAAATACCGCGGTATTAATGAACTGGTCAATGACAAATTTTAACAAGTACTCATTGATATCCTGTACCAACACTGTATGACATCTGTAGAAAACAATTTGGGGACAGGAATCATCCGTTTCTTTTCCAGGATGATAATGCTGCACCACACAGTGCCTGGGCTGACTAAGAGAGGCCACAGCAGTAAGGCATCAATAAGGTGTGCCCTCCGGTGTGAAGGGAACGGATGTCAGCCGTGGTGCATGTCCATTGGGACAGTGCTAGGAATGAGTGTCATATGGACATAATGTCCTGTGAATGGATGTCCTAGGTCCTTTGTTCCAAGTAACCCATGTCCTAGGACATAAATTCATGGGAATTTAAGTCCTGCGGACACGCGTGAGTTTGCATTGTAAGGCCCAAAAACAGGAATAGAAGTCCTTGCCGGACATATGTTCCTAACTAGACTAGAAATAGATGTCCCCCTGGCATTGTTTTTGTATTGTAAATATAATAGTTTTAGAAGTTTAACATAATTATGGTAGGTTATTCATAACTATTCTTGCATATCCCTATACACTTTATTCGGTTAACTTTGTATATTTCAAATAAATATAAAAATGCTTTCATTTTATTTCATATATCTCAATAAATAATCTAGGATTTGCGTCATCCCTTACGCCTGTAAAGCTGTGAAGCCTCTCGGTTCCTGGCGGATAATCAATACTTTCACAGCGGCGCAATCCCCGGATGCAAACCCCAGTAAAACCTGTATGATAATTTAGTATCAAGTGTCAAAAGATTTCCCTTTTACAAAAAAGGCCCTAAATAAAAGTGTCTTTACGCCCTGGCCAACGTATCCCCGCCTTCATGAGTCTATGCCCAAAAGGTTGGAGTTCATTTGAAGTCATGTGGCTATCCTGCAAAGTGTTAATATTGACATTATCACATAATTTACGTGAGGGTAAAGCATTGGTCTTTAAGCCTGTAGTAAAGCCACGCACCTAAAATTACCAAATTTTAATTAAAATCGGAATGAAAACCCCCACAAATTCAATTGTATATCTTCTTAACATATGGTGAAATACTTTAATTTGGCACCAATGTGCATGTAATTAGGTTGCCATCTTAAATTTGCAGCCATGTTGAATATCAACCTGCTGTTCCTGACTGTAGCTACATTTTAATACAACTGGCATTTCATTTCTTTTTCAGTTAGTCTTGACTATATGAAATACTGAATTTATATCTGATCATTCAATATAACCAGACGTGACTTTTGGGCCATACTTGGTTCTAAAACTTCAGAATGTGTTTTATAATGAGATAAATATTTGTGCCATATCATACTGTAAGTAATTTTAAGACAAGCAAAACATTTCCTGACGTTGTCAACAAATATCTAGTTCTCATCTGACAATCAGAGTAAAACACCCTGTAATGCCCTGACATGAATCATCAATTAAAACAATATTGAATTTTTTATTTACCTGCGTAAACAGGAGCCACAGACAGGAAAGTCCACAGAGTGAAGAACATGATGTAGGATCTGCTTGCCGACATTGCGTCCTGCAGCATCAGGATGCAGCGTCTTTTTCAAATAACGAAACTTGCTAAAATGTTACCTTTTTATATCATTTCCTCTAATTGGCTTGTTTTCGACTTCATACAGATAATGATATACAGCCGCATACCAAGAAAAACGTTAGCATTATGCAAAAATCCAATGAAACCGAGGTGAGGCGACGCCTCTCGAAATATTTGTCACTTACATGTAAATTGCATATTAGGATCACCTCGTGTATCCTATTATATCATAAGACATCATGTTAAAGTAACGTAACGTGTTGGTTTGTACATATCCCTATATCCAAATGTTTTATTTAGGTTTTCATAACCAACATTTAAAAACGCCAGCTTGTGTGTACATGTGCACCTTTCCCTCTTTTCAGTAAGAAAACACCGGTTTGGGAACTAATAAAGAATATCATTTGTAATTACAATTAAGATATATGGGAATCTATAGAAAAACATTAGCAAGATGTGTTATTTAAAATTCTGTCCTTGCAAAGAAAATATGATTTGTATTTCCATAAATCAAGTTGTTTTTCAACTGAGATTATCAACGCGTAACTTATTCTCGACATGGGACCAATGAGTGACTCCAGAGCCGTTCCGCATACGTGAATTTATTTCCTGATACTATGTTTATCTCAAGCTGAATAGCATCTCCCCTTTTTTGAAACAAAACAGTAAACATTAAGAGAGGAGTAAGTCCTACAAAACAGGCCAGTGCTTTTATAGACAAAATATTGTATCCAGTTTACTCTATGGGCGGTCAAAAGGGCAAAAATCCATGACGTCGATTCAGACATGTTTCGTCGATTCGCTGCCTTTCCATTGATTCAGTTTCAAGTTTAAACGATAAATTCAACATCTATTTTCGTCAATTCAATTGTCAAACATTTCTCATGTACGGTGTATTAAAACCAATTCTCTCACATTTTCGTCAATCGTCTATTTTCGTCTATCCTGTCCCGTCACTTCATCATTTATCGATCGATCGCCAGAGGGCGGTAAAGGAAAGGCAGTGAATCGAGGAAACATGACTGAATCGACGTCATGGATTTTTGTCCTTTTGGCCGCCCAAATTACTCTTTACTGGAGTTTTAATTGTAAATAAACAAATAAATAAATAAAGTAAATAAGTAGATTAATAATAATAATAATAATAATAATAATAATGATAATAATAATAATAATAATAATAATAATAATAAATAAATAAATAAATAAATAAAAATAAGTAAAATTTAAACAGTCTATAACGAACGATTTTGATACAAGCAGCTTTATAAACTGATAATGCGAACGCCAAGACCAAATATCCTCCCCGTAGTAAGAGAGCGGTGTGTAATAATGAGTGCAGGCTATGCTCAATGAATTCGTAATTTTCAAGCAAATGGGCAGCAGGGGCAAAGTTGTTCGTGCTAAATTTGACAGTAACTAAAGGGAAATTAACCAGTCTCTCATAATATTTTATATATTAACCGGTATACAATATTCACCCGTATTGCTTGTGCTTTACTACGTTGTTAAGCGTCATAAAGCCCACTAGTTATGGCTGAAGTGAAATCGTAGACGTCTGCATGTGTTTCTTTTCATATCGCGAACGCAAATGCCGAGCAGAAGATGAATTAACGTAAACAATGTATTTCGTGGGACACTTTTTAGTCTGCAAACCGTTCAACCAATTAATAACCGAGCAAATCCAATTATCACGAAAGCCAGTGGCGGTCGAACGAGCCACTCGACTTTAATGCGTTATTGCAGCGACTTATCTCATTTCCACAGAGTTGCTATCAAATCAACAAAAATCAACATCCAAAACCGCAATTGCTAAGCATTCCGAGGATAATGTGTGCTAAAAGTCAGGGGTTTTCCCATAAAAGAGTCATCAGCTGGTTGAAAAAAATAAATATAAAAAATAACTCATTTTGCTTTGTGTATAGTTCATACATCAATTTCTCTCTCTTTTTTTTTATTTTGTACTTGGAATTATTAGTGCAAAACTTTCAAAACCATTTCACAGAGAGGCAATTCTGCTGCTCCTGTTATTGCAGTATTGAAAGATGCATGTAATTGTCATCTCATAGGCCGCATTCACATCGAGTTGAGCCATGGCTTTACAAAGCCACGACCTAAATATGGTGGACGTACATGAAAGCACCGCCTAATCTTTTAATAGTCTCTCGCCTCTCACACGCCTCCCCATGCGTCGTCCCTGCAGGATTACAGTCATTAAATCTCGGCTCCATTGGGACGTCACATGGAGAGGCGTGTGAGAGACGGAGAGACTATTAAAAGATTAGGCGGGTTTCCTTTCATGTACG